AAAAAAAAAAGAGACTCTGGGTCTCAAAACAAACAAACAAACAAAAGTGTCAGGGGAGGAAGCGCTGTCACTTCAGTGTTAGGACCTGAACTCCTTGCTCTGCACAACAGCCACAGTGTTTCAGGCCCCCTCCCAGGGAGGGCATCGGGGGGGCGGGGTGGGAAAGGGGGCTGGGTTATGGGAGGTTCGTTCTTCTGCCAGATAGTCCTTCTGCGTTCCTTTGTATCTTCTGGGTCTTGGCTTGAAGGTCACCTGCCCAGAGAGGCCCTCCCTGACCCCATAGGGTAGGTCCTCAGCTGTCCATCTGTCTCCTTTGTAGCATTTCCTATGACCTGCAGTCACTTCACTTGCTTGTCAGTTTCCCTTACCATCGCCGTCTCCCCTCTTGACCCCTAGACTGCAGGGCTTATGACTGTCTCACTCCCAGCGGTGTCCCTGGCCTCTAGCCCAGTGTCTGGTCCGTTGCAGGCACTCACCAAGCATCTGCTGAATGATGGAACAGACAGACACTCAACTGGGGTGGCCAGGAGATGGCAGGGGCGAGACTCTCCTCTGCCTTTTTTGGGCTGTGTGACCTCAGGCAAGTTGCTGCTCCTCCCTGGGCCTCTTCCCAATCTCAACCTGAGTGTAAATAAACAACTGCATCTGAAGGGCTGGCCCCACACTTCTTGAATATATCAGGACCGATTTCAGGGGAGGTAACAGAAGTTGGAATCATTTACTAAATTATACCTAAAATCAACTGCTGGCTGATTATTCTTTCTGATGGTAACATTGCAATGGTTTTTCTAGGAGTCACTGATGTGCAATGAGCCCAATCATATTTCTTATTCAATAAACTCTTTTATTCTAGTTCACAGACTTTTCCATTACAATAATAATGAAAAGAGCACTAGTGATTTGTAACACTGAGGCCCAATCAAAGGGAAACCCCTCCTCAAATTATAAGGTAAATGACACATAGTTGAATGCAGGGTCAGTGTTGGGCAAAAAGCATTTAAAATATAGATAATGGGGTCAAGATTTTGTATGTGTGCAAACACTGGGTTTTGTTTATCAGGATGACATCATTTTAGAAAGCGCGTAATTCTGAAAACTGTATGTATAATTGTGATAAAACTAAACCATAGAGAAAAGACAAAATCAAGCAAAAACAAAAACCGAGAAACCAAAAGGAAGCAAATCAAATACATGGGGCAGATTGCAAACCTCCGGTCCTTTGGCCCTGGAATGGCAAGTGAGAGGGCTTCATAGAAATTCTTTGTAGAAAGGAATGTGTGGGCCAGTGTGGCCATGGCCCTGGCCTTACATTGCTGCGTCTCCAAGTCTTGTCTCCTCACAGAGGAAAAGAAGTTGCTTGTCTGACACATCTGCTGGGGGTCTGCCCGAGATGGGGCCTTCGTTCCCAGTCCCTTTGAAAACAGTCCCAAATCCTGAAAAGGCAAGGCATCCCTGCGCTGGCCCCAGGGCGGCGGCGGGGGATGAGGTCAGTGTCTGCCCCAGGCCCTGCCAGAGCTGTCTGAGTGGTTCACCGGGAGCGGGTGGGCCTCGGTGTTGAACACCCAGTCTTCCAGGGAGAGCAAGTCATCTTCAGAGAACAGAAGATAGAGATACCTGTGCCCCAGGCAGGGCAGGGAAGCAAGACACAGTCTGTCAGTGGCCTGGGGAAGAAGGGTGGGCCCGGGAACAAGTCTCAGGGCCTTTGTGATGGGCCTGTGACCAAGGTCAGGAAGCCTGAAACCTCAAAACTGTGGGCGGCAGGGTGGGGGTGCTAGTCCTGGGGAAGGAGGCTGTGGATGCAGAGAAAAGCCTTGAGCTTTGGGGTCAGAAGGACTTAGTTTACCCTGGCTCTGCCATCTGCCATCAGCCGGCTTCACCTGCCCGGCCCTGTATGTGAGCCCTTATGGCCCAGATCTCCTCTGCAGGGGTGCCTGAGGGCTGCTCCAGTCCAGTCGGCTCTCACGTGCCCCACTGCTGCCCGCAGACTCTACATTCAGAGCACACACTAGGGCACTAAGACGAACAGGGGGTTGTGACTCTAGAACTGCAGCTTCCAGGTTGTGGGTTTTTTCCCCGCTGGAAGGAACGGATCATTCTGACCCACCCTAATCGGTTAAAGCACAAGGGGCTTGCTTTGGGGAACAGCGAGGAAGTGGGGTGGCCAACCTCCACGGCAAGAAATTGAGGGGGGCACAGCACCCACACTGCAGAGGCTACAGGAGGGAAAGTTAATGCCAGCAACCAGCACCGACATCATCATCGTTAATCCTATCCCATTTTACACTCGAGTTCCCAGAATGGAAGCAAGCTGCAGAGATAGGTGAGAAACTGAAGGAACCTGCGGAGATAGGTGAGAAACTGAAGGAACCTGCGGAGATAGGTGAGAAACTGAAGGAACCTGTGGAGATAGGTGGGAAACTGAAGGAACCTGCGGAGATAGGTGGGAAACTGAAGGAACCTG